CTCAGCCACACAGCTCAGCTGGGACACAGCAGAAGGATAATTCCCACATTTGTTCTTTACCCCCACTCTGAGATTCCCTTCTAGTGTATTTAAGTAACAGGGCAGGAGAGCAAAATAGAAGGAAAAAGTCCAGCAGGTCAGCTAGTTTATTGCTGTGGTATATGAACTGCTTTCCCTCTTCTGACTCCAGGCATTTGGTCCAACACACATGAAGCATGGCACAGATCCCAGTGGGGAACTGGAAGGGCTCTCAAGGGGTCTCACGTTCCCTGTCATCACCCACAGCCTGGGTGAAGCTCACTCAAGGCATTGTTGGTCAAACTGAGCCCACATCCTCCCAAGGAAGGGTCCTGAAATGATCACACAGCTGTGGGGCATGCCCACAAATGGCAGGTCTGATGCTCAGCCAAGTGCCCAGCTTCAAATGCTTCCAAGATTCATCTTCCAGAGATTTTTTTCTGTTATGAGTACATTTAGTTTTGTCAGTCCCGTTCCACACTTTAACCATTCAATACATGACAATCCACCTCCCCTTCTCCTGACACACCTCCTCCAACTTCCACCTATTTTCCAGCTCTCACTTTGGATCAGAAAACAAACAACTGTTTGTCATTCTCATCCTCCACACCATTGCCACATCCTCAGCCATGACCAGGCTGAAAAGTTTTTGTCCAGCAACCACAAAACTTTATCTGTCCTTCCAGCTTGCCCATCCAACCACTGCTAAACACTCAGCTGACACCATAAGCACTGGGCTTCCATCAAACCCTTCAGAAGATCCCTCTTCTGTGAAGCATCAGGTTGTTGCTGAGCTCTTTCCAGTAGAATACAGAAACCTGCAAGTTCTCAGGACTGCCATCCTAAATATTCATGGTGGAAATCCCACCAGCTACTAGTGAGGCACTGGCACAAATTGCCCAGAGAGGTTATGGATGCCCCACTCTTGGAGACATTTAAGGTCAGGCTGGATGGGCTCTGAGCACGGATGGAGCTGTGGGTGTCCCTGTGCATCGCAGGGAGTTAGACCAGATGGCCATCAAAGGTCCCTTCCAACTCAAATGATTTTATGATTCTGTGAATTCCAGAAGCAGCATTCATGAGAACAGGAGCGTCCCCAAGGCTGCTGAGAGCTAAGCTGCACCGCTGTGCCCAATGCCCATGAGAGAGACAGGCTGCTGGGGTCCACTGGGATGACAGGCAACTCCCACTCTGCTTTCCTTAAGGAGCTCCATCCCTACTGCCAAGGTCCTCATACAGCCCTACGACCACAGAATCTGAATCCCACCACTATATGCACCCAAGATGCAATGGGGAATGGCCGTAAGTCCCATTCCATGGTCAACTAAAGTCCAGTGAGTGACACAGGGTGACACCTGGGCTCCTAAACCAGACATAGGATAACGAAACAAGTGCAGGACAGCCTCATTACAGAAACGAGCCCGCAAGCAAAGGGCAGCAAGCAGTGGCTAGTTGGCAGAGTCTGCCTCCTGCCTGCCTCACTCTTCCTGTTTTAATGGAAAAGCTGCTGAAATATTCCCTGTTCATTATCCAAAATGCTGCACACAGGCCCAGCTGCAGGGCTGAGCCAATATACAGCACATCAGAAAGACACTGTTGCGTAATTTCTGTCAAGTAATTAGTGTGCTCCGCAGCACACCGAGCCGAGAGTTTTACTAGCACTAAACAAGGTTAGCAGATTTGTAAACAGCTTGCTATGGAGTGATATTTTTCTGCTCGTATCGTCTAAAAATATCTTGGGAGAATTTGCTCCAGTACAAATGGCTCTGCTTGAAAGGGCTTAGAACAACAAAAAAAGCTTATGATAATTCAGAGCAGGTTTCCACTTTGTTTGCCTGCCTGTCGCTTGCTGCTCAGCTCTTAGCTTCAAACAGTTCCACAGCTCAAACCTGGCTTTACTAAAAGAGCCTGCTTCACCAGAAAGGAAATAAAAACTCTGCTAATACCCAGCTCCATCCCTTCCACACGCTACGTGACATCATGCATGGTCAAACTACAGTCGCTCGCTCCTTCTACTACTAGGTCCAAGGGAACCAGAGGATGTCCACGTGGCAGGTGGAAAGACATGGTAGGAGAAGACACTTGAGTCCAGAGAAAGCTCACAATGCTTCCTAAGCCCCATATTAAACAACAAACACCAGACTTTATCTAAGACCTTGCACGTGGCACCAGTCCCCGGGTGAACAGCACCCTGCTGCAGGGAGGGGGATGCCAAAATGGCCCCCTAAGAACCCAGGTTTGCTGTTTCCTGGCTGCTTGCCCTCAGCTGAGAAGTAAAAAGAGGTTTCAGTTCATTTGTTAATGCTTTTGGTTCCCCTTGGGATTCCTCAGGTCCTTTTGTGGTGCTGGAAAACGGTTCCATGCACTCTTGTTGTAGCTGAGCACACCTCCACCTGCAGGGAGGACTGGAGGGCCAGCAGAGATGGAGCTAAATGCTGCTGCACCACCAGGAGTTGATCCTTACTGCTAGGTCAGGCTGGATCCTCATCTCTTGACAAGGGATTTAGAGGACACACATCCCCAGAGTCAGCACAGCAATGCTAAATACCCCACACCGACCAAGAAGGTGCAAGGAACCGAACCATGCTACATCTCTACTTGTTTCATACAATCATGACACTGAACCCAAAAAGAGGCTTTAAAAACATTCACACTCGTGGCAAGTGGCCGTGTCCCAGCCTAGATCCCAGAGCTCCTTGGAGCAGCCACAGTCTGCTGGGACCACAACCAAATGGTCAAAACACTGAGCAGCTGTTGAGTACCAGTATTCTTCCCCTATGCCTGTGGCCAGGTTTGGTCACTTTAGCATTTAACTCTTATTTGGGACACGGGAGACCACTGAGAGGCTTGTTATTTCATCCATGCTTATCGTTAGGAAGCTGCTAACAAAACCATGGAGACCTCCTGGTGCCTGGGAATGGCAGGAAGAAGAGTACAAAGTGGCACACTTTTTACACTTCATTGGGAAGCTTTATGAAGTAATTGGAGTACAAAGTCAGGTCTAATTGATGTTTGTATTGATTGAACTGCTCCAAGTCTTAATTTTGGTTGTAAAATTCACTTTAAAATAAAGCCATTTATAATTAAGACAGGATCTGTAATTAATGGAGTTTTATACTCATAAAACTGCCTCTCTCATCAGTCTAAATTAAACTCTACATGAAAGTTTTTGCAAATTAAATACTGTAGATGCCAAAGCTACTTTCCCCAAACTCTTTGCTATTTTTATTAATGTCAAAACGTAAGTGATTTGGAGACGTGCAGAAGTGACGAAAGTTGATATTAAAAGATGAGATGGTGCTCTCATTTGCTGCAAGAGCAGCTGAGCCACCAGCCATTTCCCACACCCCAATCACAGAACTAATACATGGAGCCTATTGCAGGAATTTGTGTCAAGCTGCAACGCAAACTTGCTTTTAAAAATAACAATTTGCTCCAAAAGGGTCATGCTAGGCCACCAACCATGGCTCTCAATTTCAAGTGCCAGTGGTTACTTAAACCAGGGCTCTGTGTTTGGCCATGTCCCCAAAGCTTCCTCAGCTGCCTGAACCATTAAAGAAATCCTCCTGTTCTTCAACTCTGGTAAGTGTGGTTGACCATACGAGTCCTTCCAATTTGATCTCACAGGAAATCTTTACAGCCATCAACCACAATATTTACAAAGCACAGATAATTTTGGGTTTGTGGCAAGAACATAAAACATCTTGGGCATATGCACATAGATAAATGTCCCCCAATAAATCTGTTTGCCTTGTGCAAGAGTTGCCTCATCTTTATCTAGGTAATTAGCTACTCACTTCTTAAAGGCTCCCGTCTAATTGGGGTTGCTGTCTTAGTGGAATATTATTTCCTCTTCCCAAAAAGGCCACTACTATTTTTGCATCGCTTTTTTTTTTTCTGGCTGCCACATTCTGGTTTTCCTACTAAAATTAAAAAGTCACTCCAGTGCTCACCAAGTATTTATGGCTTGACAATTCCTACATACATCCCTAAGCTGACACCCATGAAAGCCAGTCACAGCTGCCCAGCGTTTCCCCATGTAACTTCACACATGGTTTGAAGCTCAGATAGCCACTCCAGAACCCGACAGCCTCAAAGCTCCCAAGCATCATTCATTGCCAATGCCAGACTTCCTTTAGTCCATTGTTTTAGTTTGTTTTGCTCCCATCCCATCAAAACCCCAGAGGGCTGGAAGAGGCAAGTGGGACTGGAGGAAGTTGGTGGATTACTAATGAACGACATAAATTACCACACTGGTAATTACCCAAGGGGCTAAGGTTCAAAAGAGCTTATTTCTCTTCCATTATCCATTCTAAGTTCAAATGCTTACACCAGCCTTGGGCTGATGCATCACAGGCAAAGCCAGGACAGGCTTCCAGCCACTGCCAACTTACATCAACACATCACCCATGTTTGTGCACACACACAGACATAGGCAGACCCAGGACCATGTGGATGTCCTGACTTTTACCACTATTTTAGGGATGCTGAAACCTAGGCTGTGGGGATGGAACTTGCTCCAGGAGCTAGCACTAAAAGGCTTTCCATTACAAAGAGACACAAAGAGATTAACCAGTTGTCTGATTCCCGCAGCTGCAGAGAGCGAAAGGCAAGCTCTGTCGGTGGGAATTTTGCTCCTCGTATCAATGGGATCAGAATTTCACATTTGCAAAATAATCACATTTCATTTTGATGACAAGTCCCTTCCCAAGCTGGAAGCCAAGCAAGGAGGAGGGCATGGAGCCTTCAGACCCTCAAGAAACACCTCATGGAGGTTTCTCCCGTGTGGCCAAGCAGGGTAGGAAATGCAGGGATGTGCAACCTTTGGGTTTAAACACTGTTCTGACAGAGACACACACAGTGCCAAGGTCAGGCAGCTATCAGAAGAGCTCTTTATGTGCCAGGACTTCATGCCGTGATTTCAAACCTGAATCGCTTGGGTGCTGGCAAGTGACAGGAAGCACAATAACTGCACAAATTACCTGAAAACAGCAGCTTCAGGCTTCTGTTATTGCAAATAAACACCACCAGAGACATCACCCCGTGCGATACTGAGTCAGCACTTCTACACTGCCAAACTCCTGTTGTGCCATAGCAACACGCGAGGTGTCCGTGGCAATGCAGAACCCAGACTCTCTGCACTGTTGCACAGAGGACAACAAACTTAACCTGCCAAAAAATTCCTCCAATCGCCTGCTCAAAAAAAAACCTCAAGAGCTCCTGGGAACAACTTATAAAGTGAGGTGCTGCTTGTCTTTTCCAACATCCTTCCACATTTTTTATTATGTGACCTTCTCCCACTGAATGGGACAAATGAGCCTTGCCCTTATTGACAGGACTTACAGCAAGCAAAGCACGTCTGCTGCGTGCTATCATAGCAGCCAGCAAGGGCAGGAAGGAAATGCTGGACCCCAATGGAGGACAGCAGAAAGCCTGCGGCCAGACACAGCCTCCCTCCAGAGCCCACATTGAGCCAGGCTCTTTATTTGCTTTGCTTCCATCTCCCCTGCTCGTATATTCCAGCCTTTATTGCAAAAAAATGAGAGGGAGAAAAAAAAAAGATGAGGAGGAATATAGCAAAATAAGCTATTGAGAAACAAGCCTGGAAGGCAACTGAAATCAACTCTGAAGAAGTCATCAGCTACCTGACCCCTTACATAGCTCCAGAATGGGGAGGAGGATGAAAAGCATCTTTCCTTTTTGCATCTTGATCCAATCCAAATTCATATAGTTTTACTGCTCAGAAGCATTGCTGAGCATTGCCAGCAGCCCGGGCTGGGCTTGTGGAGCTCATCAATGGAGCAATTAAAGCATCTGTGACAGCACAGAGCGCTTGCAGTTTAGACTCATTGATGACCACAAGGGAGGTCCGCTAAGATCCCTAAGTCCAACCCCAGCTCACCCCACCATGCCCACATCCCTCAGTGCCACATCCCCACAGCTCTGGAACACCTCCAGGGACGGTGACTCCACCACTCCCTGGGCAGCTGTGCCACTGCAGCACCACTCTTTCAGAGAAGAAATGTTCCCTAATATCCAACCTGATCAACCCTCAGCGACTGAAAGACCACATGCCCAGGCTCCCACCAATACATACCATGCTGGTTGGCTGCCCTGCAGGAAGCACAGGACTCAGTGAGCTCAAAGTGCCTGCCCTGAGTCTCACTGCCAGCCCCACAGGTACTGGCCCCACGGAGGAAGCTGAAGCCCAACAGCATCTCCTCCTTCCCATTGGGAGAAGCAGGAGAAAGCATCATTTCATTGAATCATAGGATGGCCTGGGTTGAAAAGGACCTGAAAGATCATCTAGTTTTAACCCCCTGCCATGGGCAGGGTCACCAACCACCAGACCAGGCTGCCCAGAGCCTTGAATGCAATATCCTCCAACTCCCACTCTACTTTCTCCCTTTTCTTTCTGCAGCACTGAAATCAAAGTCACAAAGTGGTGACAAGCAGCACTTAAGTACCTGTGATGGGCATTTCCCCACCAGGCGCATTGCAAACACTACTTCACATTTCAGAGGCAGCAACGACTGTGTCCATGCAATGGCCAATTTACTCCTTGTGTGCAAACACAGAGAACCGCTGAGAAAAAAAAAGCTCCCAATCTTTTTTACCTTTGGGAAGTAATAGCAATTACAATCGGTTACACAGCCGTATTTCTTTTCCCTCCCCATCCAAACCTATTCACAAAAATCTCATGCCCTGGATTAGATTTAGTTGAAAGAAAAGTAATGAGATTTGCGCTTCCTAGCAAATTAAATAGGAACTGCCCAACAGAATAATCCTAAAACACAAAATACTGCCTCATCCCACATGTTGCTAATAGGTTTGTGCTCTAATGGCTTGTTTAGAAAGAGGGATTTTTCCTAAATGACAACCTAATGCTTTGCATTCAGGAATGTGAGTACATTTTCACTCCCAAGGCTTTGTTGGTGTATTTCTTCATTTTTCCAACATAATTCCTATAAAAAACAAATGATACCTTTGACCAAAACTCCGTGCTGCTCCACAATAACTAAAAATACCAAATGACAACCTCTCTGAAAGCTGTGTTCCTTGCTCTTGCTGCTGCTGCAGGATGCAGTGTGGGGCAGAACAGCTCCCTGCCTGCTGAAGCCATCCCAATTCCTGGCAGATCTCTGATGCTATCCACTCTTCCATGTGTTTGGTGCTGCCAGGACTTTGCATACCAGCTCCGTGCACTCTGTGACCTCGTGCCCCAAACATTTGGGTTCACGTGATGCTCCCACAGATCCCACTGATCCCAACAACACCACACCAACCCTTCTCTCTTTCTGCCCTCAGGGCCAGACGCATTGGCCACAGATCCAACCAGCCCCATCCCTGCAAACACCCATGGAGGAAAAACCCGATATCCACAGCCAGAGCTGTGAAGGACCAAACAGGACAGCGTCACCATATGATGTGCAAGGCACGGAACTTCAGTCTAACCTCAGCCTGCAGAATGCCAATATTTTAACTTTATTTCCTTCAGAGAGTGGATAATCTGAGCCATGTTGGCACCAGCCTTAGGAGCTGCAGCGATTTCAGCCCATGCTGCAGTGGCTGCTCTGGCAGAGGAGGCTCACAGAGCATTCATGAACTCCTCTCTGCCCAGCTCCAGAGAGCCGTTCTGCACACCCTGAGCCCTGAAAACATCCCTGTGTCACAGCAGGGAAGCAAAGGCAGCTGAGATCTCGCTCAGCCTGCACTGCCCTTGCTATTAATGCTCACAGGGTCCTGCACCCACCTCCCCCAAGCACCGCAGTCACCCTGCAGGATCAGCACCCTCTGTTTTCAGAGGCAGGCAGGAGATAAGCCTGACTTCAAAGGGTTTGTGCTGATCCCTTTTGATGTCTCCAAATCCAGCCAAGCCAGAGAAAGCTGCATGTCCCCGTGGGGCTCCTTCTCCTTCCCCCTACACCCATCTGTGCTGGGACCTGCAGGAGCAGCTGGCTGCCAGCTCATCAGCTCTGGTAACAGCCGATCCAGCTCTGGATGAGGCTCCCCATCACCTCTTCCTCCTGCTTTCTGCAGCTTGAAACTTGCAGGAGACTGCCCAATGCAAACCACAAGTTGGGATGCTCAGAGCAACAGCTCCTGCTCACTTTCCCTGATGTTTGCACTCTTTTCTCCACTCAGACCATGCTGAGATTATATCAGAACCCACAAGGAGGCAAGGGAAAATGGGATTTCCAGCAAGCATCTCCCATCCCAACAGCACAGCAGCTGGGGAAAGGCCAGGGGGTCACGCCAAATCAGAGCTCCCCTATGCCAGCCCCAATCCACCCAGCTGTCATCATGGGCACAGTGACACTGGGACAGGGGTCAAAGCAAAGCCATTGCTCACAGGAAGCAAGATGGAGTATTCTTGACCAGAGGTCCTTTGCAGCACCCCAAGCAGCAATGGATTCAGTGCTCTCCTCTCCCCCATGAGCATCACTGTGGCTAGGTAAACTGAGGCATAAAGCAATGGCCAAAGCATCCCAGGGAAGAAGTAGAAGTAGAAATGGATACCTGAACTAACAGACAACTAACTCCTACTTTGGAATGTTCCTCTTCAGAAGCCCTTGTCTGACAATGGGTCCCCAGACCAGCAGCTTTTTGCAGATGTTTGTGGTTTGGTGAAAGGCCACCCTGGCAGAGGCAAGGGAGCTGATGTGAGGTTTGCTTACCATGACTTAATTAATCATAATGTGCTGCAAACACGGTGAGCTCACACAGCTGGGCTGCAGCATTGATGTCTGCAGCTCAGAGGGGCACACGATGCTCTGCAAGAAGGGGACATGGAGCACATGCAGAGTGTCACATCAACATCCAGATCTGCACATATTTAATCTCACTGTAATTAAAGGAGGAACGTGTGAAGCCTGGCTTCAGACAGGGCACATACAGCCCATTGATGTCCTTCCCACTGAGAAATGGTGGAGAAAACTGCCTTAGCTCTCCTTTCCTTCCCAGCCCCAGGTATGTGCCACCCTTTAGGTCCAGGATGCAGTGGTCCTATTTTGGTCCCCATGCGTTCCCATTGCCCCAGGGGCACATTTCCAGGGGTAGCAGACAAGGATGAGGCTCCTGAATGCACAAAGCAGCACTGACTGGTAGAAAAGAGACTTGCCAGAGCCAGGGGTGTAAGGCAAGGGACAGAGGAAACATGAAAAATTAATCTGGCTGAAAAGCTTGCATAAAAATTTAAAAAATCATATTAAAATTTGTACAAATGTGTCTCAGTATGATTTAAATGCCCTTTAAAACACACTCAGCCCTGGATCCACTCCTGTGCCCCCGGGCTGCGCAGGCACCGAATGCCCATCTCTCCACCGAGCCCCATGTATTGCAACAGCAGCGTCCAGAAGGGCTTGGGGAGCCAGGAACAAGGTGAGGGAGCCCAGGTGAATAAAGATACAGCCCTCAGCCCTCTTCCCATCCACTCTAAAAGGACTCCTTCTCTGCTACAATAAACCAGAAGCCTTCACTCCAAACCAAGGATATCTGAATCTCCACCACCAATAGCTCGCTCGCTTGCCAGCCGGTTCCTATAACTATGTCAGCATCACTGGAGTTCAAACAATCTCTTTAATTGTTGTCCAGATGGCATCCCTGTAATTCTAATTTGCTGGCAGCCAATCTCATTTTATTTATACCCCCTTGCTGTAAGGATTCTTCCTTCTGAAATGATGCTCAGTATTACATTTCAGGGCCAGAAGCTCCAGTTAAACCTCTCCTTGCATACCCCGATGCCCTGCACAGTGGGGATATGGGATGGGGTAACAGAACCTCCACGAATCCTTCCCAAAACATGCACCCCAACATCATTTGTTGTACTGCGTACCCACCTGCCAGGCTCTGCCCCCTGGAAGGGTGCTGTCTGGAGCAAGTCACACCTTGCAACAACTTCATACGATGCAAAATATTTATGCTGCGGCCACTGTTATGATTTTCTTTCAATGGAGGCTACTTTATACCTGAAACTATCAAGTCCCAAGGAAAACCACACTGCCATTATCATACACACCTGGAACGTCAGCAGAAGGAGCTCGGTAAAGTCAGGGATACAGCTGCTTCTGCCCACAGAAGGATCTGCATAGTGATGCTGCAGTTTTATATTCAGAAACACGAAACACTATTA